AAATGGAGTTGCTTGCAGATGGTGCAGCCTTCCCTTGAGAGGAGACTCTCCTGGCTGAAAGTTCAAACTTTCTAGGGAGGAGACAAGGACAGGTGGGAATTAATGACTGACATTAACGTTAATCTGCCACAGGAGATTAGCAGTACCAGTTGTTCTCGTGCGTGGCTGGCGAGGGATCCTTAGGAGGCAGCAGTGGGAGGGTGTGGACTGAGTTTGGAGGGAAATATGTAAAAAGTAACTTGTTTCTTCTCCCTGCCAGGTGCTGCTGCCTCTCCTCACAGGCCAGCCACTTCCTCCAGAGAAACTGGAAAGTGTTACTGAAGAGCTGAACGTTGTCCTGAAGCAGTTTGAGGAGAAGTTCTTGCAGGACAAGCCCTTCATCGTGGGCAGCGAGGTCTCCCTGGCAGACCTTGTAGCACTGGTGGAGCTCATGCAGGTGAGCATCAAGGCCCCCCACAAGCTGGGTTATGGCCAGGCCAGGCCAGGCCAAGGTGTGGCTGCAGCAGCACCACCTCTTTAATGGCAGATCTTTCTTCCTGCAGTTAACTCCTTAGTAGAGTTAAATCTTGTTCCTTTTTGACTTTGACCATAATCAAGTTTGCCAGGGAACACCTACTTTGAGACAGTTCTCTCTATAGAAGTATGGACAAAATTCGTCAAGAAAAAAAAGATAAATTACAAACTAGGCAGAGAAAGTACAGATATTTGGAAGAGATGTGTTGGTGTGCACGGACCTCTGTGTTCTGCATTAGACAGTTCTTGGATTAGCCATGGCAGTGGTCTTTTGCAGCACGTCCCAGGGGACAGCAGCTGCTGAGGATGACAACACTTGCTTCCTACTAGCTAAGAACCGGAGATGAACTCCACCTTATGTGACGACTGTCTGCTGCCTTGAGCCAAAAACATATCTGTGTGTCATTCTGGTCCTATCCCTGGTAAATGTGTTGTTTGACTCGCTCTCGCTCTGCAGCCTGTAGGTGCTGGCTACGACCTGTTTGAGGAGAGGCCGAAGTTAGCAGAGTGGCGCAGGCGGGTGGAAGAAGCGGTGGGGAAGCAGCTCTTCCAGGAAGCCCATGAAGGGATCTTGAACGTCAAGAACTTGACCGCTGATAAGATCGCACCCGAACTGCTGGAGCATTTCAAGCACCAGCTCCTAAAGCAGGCCAGCCAGAATTAGGGGGTTATACTCTAAGTAAAATGGATTCTTTTCTGCAGGCTTTTTGTAGTATTTCAGCAGTTCTTCTAAAAAACATACAGAAACATCATTCAACAAAATGCACTTCAATCACAGCCTTTCTGCAACTTAGAAGGGAAGAAAACTACATCTTGAACAGACTGCAGTGAGCTGCTTTCCCTTCTTGTCCACTACAGGTATGAGCTGTAGCTCTACAGGCTTTTTCTTCCTCCAACACCACTGGATCTGTTTGAGGACAGAGGCAATTCAGTCCATGTGGGAACCGGGGCCAGTCAGAACTTCCCTTTCCATCCCTATTGAGTTTTCCAGGTCACAGCACTATAGAAGGGGCAAAGGCTTCCTGAGGGTATGGCAGAGCAGATCTGTCTGAAACAAGGAAAAATCATGGAAAATGACTTTCACTTTGTAAGACGCTCAGTTGGAAGATTTTTGCTCTTTACTAAAGAGACAGGCCGGGACCCAGCCCTTGGTGGGGACCCTGCCAGGGCTCTCCTAGAACACCTGGCCACTAGAGGCGGCTGCGTCACCTGTGGGAGCAAAGGGACACAGTGCCTAGGAGCAGGGGGGCTGGGCAGGTACCCAAGTGAGGCCTCCAGCTTCTGGGAATGATGGGGTTAGTCCTGTGAATAAAGATCCTCAACCGTAGACTCATGCCATACTCTACAAAGAACAGCCTGCCCAGTTGAGAAAAGCTGCTTTTTGAAGTGAAGTTGCTGCCAACCACATGGTCGCCCTCTGCAAACCGTATCAGTGCTCTGGCCTTTCCCCAGAGCGGCTTTGTCAGCTCGTTGGAAGCCATTCAAGGAGGCTCTGATGAGCACTGCCGTGGCTGGGCCAGCATTGGTGGTAGAGGGAGCTGTACTGGCCAGCCCCTGGGTGAGCAGAACACACGGGGTATGAGCTGAGTAACGCCTCAAGTACAGTTCCACTGCTCTTCTGTCATGTGAGATTCTCCAGTAAAGTTAATGATTACGCTTACCGTGTGTTGTAGCTCTGTTTGGATTTGTAATCAGGATTTGGAAGGAAGTGGCCCTTCACAACCTCTTGCCTGTGTCCCTTTGTACCCCTCCCGCTTTCCTGTCCGCCTGTCCCTGTGACCTTCCATTTCCAGGTACAAGCCATGAGGACGGTTCCAGTTTGCAGAACTGTTTTTTTCCCTCCTTGTTAAGCTCTGGTTGTATCTGGAAGTCTGTTTGTCTCTGCTGGCTGGTTACACCATCCCCAGAGATGGCCGCATAGTATGCTGGCTGTGAGATGTCAGTCATCTTTATGCAAGTCAAGTTATTACAGTGCTCAGAAAAGGTGAAAGTAGCTGCTCAAACCAGTCTTGCACATCCTTTCAGCTGGACTTACTGATTTGGGGAATGAGCCAGCTGCCTCTTCTGCTTTCGTTTCCTGAGTAAACCTGTCCTTTAGTTCAAAAGGGCACCACGAACCACAGCTTGCAATACACATCTCTGTGGGCTGAGCTAAAGCAGCCAAGCAGGCAGGCTGGTCCCTTTCCGTTCTTCCAACTTGCAGGAAATCTTAAATGTCAGTGGTGAAAAAGCAGGTTTGCCCCCAAACTCTTTCAGTTTCAGTGCTGACACAGGCAGGGATATTTGTCTTCCTATCTGATTTTTTTATTGGTAAGTTTGCTGAGGAGAGCCTGCAAAGTTGGTGACAGCAGCTTTCTTCTCACCCTGAGAGTGCTTGCATGGTTGGTGCCTGAGCAGCAACCCCTGTAGGCACTGCACTGCTGCTCTGCGGTAGTAGCTTGCCTGCAGTGCTAAACCTACAAAAAAATGGCCTGTTTACGTTGTACTGCCAACCACTTCCTTTTCTCTGCAACCTGCAGCTTACCGCAGCCACCAGCTGGGCTTCTGTGCACCACCAGAATATAGGAGGTCCTTCTTTGCTACCTCACCAAAGCTGCCCAGCCTTGCTGTACTCGCTTGTGTTAGCACATTTGTATTTTGCCTAACTTCCAGATTCCTGACCTCAAGCTTTTCTGTTTCTTGTAGAGAGCAAACTTCCTACCAGCACAATAAGTGCTTCACACAGCTTCTGTTCAAGTAGAAGCAGGGCAGAGAAATAATCAAAACCAAGAGCCTAATCTACAGAGTGCTAATCTTGCCAGATCTCAGACTGGGCTTGGTAGCAGGACCTTTCTTGATACACATCTCCCTGCAGAATCTCAGGATATGGCTGCTGTGCATGCAAAACCATTGCATGAGCCAAAGCAAATAAAGCGTCTTTTTTTTTCTTATTTATGGTACTTGCAGCACAAGAGCTCCATATAAGAGAGTCCTGAGCCAATTTTCTGCTTGTTTGAATAAGGCACAAGTTCCTTACGTGTCACGCATTGTGTGCTCTCGCAAGGACATCTGCCTTCAAAAACAAGCTGGAACTATGTCCAGAGCTTGTTGTCTGGTGCTTGTATGCTGCCAGCATCACAAATGATAAATGCACTTGCCTCAGTCCAGCGTGGTCGTGGTGATAAAAGGAGATTTTAAATCGTTTTTCCTATAGTCTTCTCTGTCTGCGCTAAGCCCACCCGAACTGTAGGTTCACTCTCCCAATGAAGCTGTGTGCAGTCAGCAGTGGTATTTTGGGCCCTTCTGTGCACGCAGGACAAAGCACCTCCCCAGAGTAACTCCTTGGATGGCAACAGAGTTGTACAACAGATAAATCTGCCTTCTTTTTTTGCTCTAAAATAAATCGTGGAGATAAGTCATCTCGTCCTTGTACTTTGCCTTTTGCTATCCCTCCACCTCCCTCATTTTGTTAATTTGTGTCATTTGATCTTGGCCAGTTCCAGCTCCTAGGTTGAAAGCCCAAGAGCTGCCTGCCAAAATCCAACAGGTTGTGCAAGAGTTTTGCCTTCCTCAGTGCAAGGTCTCTTCCGTGTCCACTCCCCTTTCACCTGAATATGGAGAGAGGTTACACCTCCAGTGACAGTTTAATGTGCTGTTCTGAGTCAATTTCCTCAATTCTTGCCAGGGGCTATTTGGAAACAGGTGAAAGCCTGTGATTTCTACAATAAAATGAAGCTGGAACACATAAAATGGGAGGAATGTTTAAAAAACAGATACACATCCTGAGACCTTTTCTAAACAAGAAAGAAACTGCAAAACTTACTGCATTTTTTCTACGCTGTTCCCACTTCCAAAAAGGTGATAGAGAAAGCACAAGCAGGAAAAATGGCCTTTGAGGTGATGGAGCCAAATGAAAATACAACGCTAGGAGCACTAGCCTAGGGCCAGGAATAATGCAATCAAATGCCATATAACATGACCAGAGAAAAATACCTCTTTGGTTGTGTGGGCTGTGCAGTGCAGCAAATTGGAGAAAAGCTTAAGGAAGGAACATTTCCAGGAGGCACATGAAAAGATCTTTGAAGTCCAGATAGGACTAATGGATCAATTGAACCAGAAATAAAGGAGCAAAGCAAACCCATGCTGCTCATCTTGCTACCCACCGCTGAGACCAACAAATTCTTCTCAGTGATTATCTCTGAGTGGGGATATGCAGCTATTTTGAAGCACAAAGACTTCTTGGACTATTACCTGTGCAGAGCCACACTCACGCTCTTTTTCCCCACTCCCTTAACATTTAAGATTTCTTTGCACTGAAGGAGTTTGACATGAACTCAAGCACCTGCCACAATACTCTATGAGCCTTCATCTCTGGCGTGTTGGTGCTGCATGCAGGTGCTTTAGAGGGTAAACTGTACTGCAGGGGAGCTGAAGGGCGTACACAGCCCCTCTCCCTATTCTGGCCAAGAAACTGAAATACTCTTATCGTGCAGTTCTAAATCGGAACAATGACTCTGAAAATAGGTGCGTGGTGCAGCAGACTCGATACTTCATTTTGAGACGCAGCTTGTTCACCAGACTGGCAAACTGAATGGTCTAACAGTAAGCCCCATTCCTAAGGAGTTCTCAGAGCTGAAGTCTTGGCAAAGTGGTATAAAGGGAAGCACCTGAAAGTGTTCCTAGTTTCTAAATTATCCAGTTGACGAGCTCCTGGCTCAGTATCCAAGCCTTTTCACCACCCTTTGTAATGATCCTTTACACAGTTCCCTCTCCCTGAGGTTCCTGTGGCTCTTTCCAAGGATTCATGCGTGATGTACAAGCTCTCTGGCACAGCACTGATAAAAAGGTGTCAGCTGAGCCGAGGTGGGTTTGACTGGGGGTGACTTTGCTCCGAGTGGTTCAGCCGCTCTATCTTGCAGAGACCCAGAAGTCCCTGTGCTCAACCAGCATGTCACTTTCCCTGAATCACACAGCTGTGAAACGCTGTGAGCTCCATGCAAGGGCTTGAATTCAGTCTGAGCTTCTTTAGTTCTCCTCTGCTTGCGTGGGAATCTGAAATGACAGATACCAGGGGGAGAGGAAAGTAATTTCGCTGTGAGTATGCAGAGGTAATGCCCACAGAGAAGTCCTCCATGCTTCACTGCCATTCAGGCGTCACCTCGCAGCGCCAGGCAGAGACTACGTGACCAAAGAATTATCTTTTGAACTGAATAACACACTGAGATCTAGCAGTCCGAGATTAACACTGGCTTAGAGGACGTCGTGCAAGGGCCCTGTTTGCAGCGTGACGCATCCCTGCGGGACCGCGTTACAAAACCAAGCGTTTACCTTGCGAGAGCCGTGGTGGGATGCCGTGGGTGAGAGCGGGCTCCCGAGCCCCTGTGCTGTCATAGAATCATTTAGGTTGGAAAAGACGTTCAAGATCATCGAGTCCAACCATTAACCGTGCCCACTAAACCATGTCCTGAAGTACCCTGTCCACTCGCTTTTTGAACATCTCCAGGGATGGTGACTCAACCGCTTCCCTGGGCAGCCCATTCCAACATTTGACAACCCTCTCAGTAAAAAAATTTTTCTTAGTATCTAACCTAAATCTCCCTTGCCTCAACTTGAGGCCATTTCCTCTTGTCAGCCAGGGCTGCGGCAGGGGGGGGGGAGCCACGACAGCCCCTGCTCCCTCAGCACTTAGTACCGACCTCTCTTTTGCGCTTGGTAATTTACCATTACTCCTAAATGACCATTACTAGCGTGTCACCTTCTTTCCCCGAAGCTGCCCTACAGGCACAGTGCCAGCCCTAGCGTGACCACGGCTGCCTATCTGTGTGGGACGGGGAACCCTGTGTCGTGTCCGTCCGTCCTTCCCCCCCCCCCC